GACAATTTGAGTGAATAAAATGAAGTTCAAAGTGTTTCTCTCGTGCAGAGCGTTGAGCTGACCAAAGACGTGGCCGTGAGCACAGAGACCCTGAAGACCAGTCGCTCCGAGATTTCTGAACTGCGCCGCACCCTGAGCACACTGGAGATCAAACTGCAGGCTCAGCTCAGTAAGGTATGAAAGAGGACCAGACTCCCACTCAAAGACACGACAGAAAGTTGTTAGCATTAGCACTAAGTTGTTAGCGTTAGCCGCCATGTCTAACTCAGGTCCCAACTCTTGTTTGTAGAAAGGAGCTCTGGAGGTGAACCTGGCTGAAGTGAACAGCCGCTACGCCATGATGCTGGCCAGCTTCCAGCAGCAGGTGACATCACTGGAGCAACTGAGCGCGCTCAGAGCCGATCTGGCCAATCAGACGGAGCAGTACAAATTGCTGCTGGACATTAAGACCAGACTGGAGATGGAGATCGCAGAGTACCGCCGTCTGCTGGATGGAGATATGGAGAAGTGAGTTTTGTTTTCTCCAAAACACTTTCGGTTTTATATGTAGATGTAACAACACAAAGGAAAGTCAGTGTCCTGTAGACGGTGATTCTAATTCTTTCTGTGTTTCTTCAGGCAATCTCTCACCACCAAAACCACCACCACCACCAAAGTCATAACCATTGTCCAGGAAGTGGATGAACATGGAAACATCATTTCTGGTTAGATTAAGTAACATCACCTCAGCCAATCAGAGCTCATGAAACAAGAGGGCTGTGTCCAATCAGAAGCCAGGAAACACTGGAGGGTTTCATCTTCCGAGGTCAAATTTTAACTGATGTGCCAGCCAATGTTTAATAAAAATCATAACATAAGCTTTTGCGATTTGTCATTACGTTAAATTGACTGTGTGAGTGGAAAAATACAATTAGCTTTAAACCAAGAAAAAGGTTTTGGAGTAGTTTTGACGATAACTGAAGTGTAACAAAGGTCATATATGACACAAAATTGACTCCTCTGAGCTTTAAGTCAAGTTATAATGCTGTTACCTCCTCAAAAACATACCCAGAGTTGTGTTTTGTTTCATTCACACATGTTTGAGTAATCTTTTATTATTAGTCTGTCTACATCTACGAAGCTCAAAATGCTCTGTTCCACCTTGTGATGTCATGGAGCTGTAGTTTTCAAGTTTATTTAAGCTCATTTAACCTTTAGTTCAGTAGTGATTGGCAATTCCAGGGCTGAAAGTATCTAAATTATTCTAGCAAAGGTGTATGGAGTTGAAAAAACACAATGGAGCATTTCCTGTATTACTACATGACATCACAAGGTGGAACAGACAGTTTTCTTTAAGGAAAGCCGGGCAAAGTTGTTTTTTTTTTGTTCTTCTTGTTGGTGTGGGAGATAATTTTCATGACACCATCCAATATTCTTCGTAACAGTGACCTGAGGAAATATCTGACCCTGTTTCACCACCACCTCAAATTCTCATCTGCCGCTAACACTTTTTATGTCCCACAAATATTAGTTCATTATATTAAGAAATGCGAGAGAAGAAAAGTGTCCCTGGAAATGTACCTCGAAGGGTTCCCATAATGTTCATATGTTGTAATAAAGCTGATTCTAATGGCTCCTAATATGAGGTTACGTCCAGTTCAGCGCTACCTGCTTTGGGCATGAGTGACAAAATGAGACAAAAACAGCCCTGAGCGTCACATAAGAGCGTATACGCCGTAATAAAGAGGCTGGTTCTCAAGCTATCAAACATTTTATGATGAGATTACAATGGGGATTTACCGTGTTTAAATAATACTCAATTTGGAGATGGAGTGCGTTCAGATGTTAAGGCATAACATCTAGAAGTGTATTAAAGTTTTTTTTTTTTTTTTTTTTTTATGAAAGTGACCAATTCTAACTTACAATGACACGGCGGTATTTTGTTAATTATTGATTCATTTATTCATTATTGATTATCTTGCAATTATTTTAAAGCTGTATTTTTTTAATAGTCAACATACAATTTCAAAATGAGACTATAGTTTCATGTGGGCAAATGGGAATTCAGTGAGTGCGTTTACATGCACATCGGTATCCCAGTTATGATCAGGTTTTTTGAGTATCTTGGTTTTGTCATAGCGCATGTATACACAGTATCTCAGTTATGAGAAATTGGGATACTGTAGTTGGTATATTCCGATAGTAACCGGGATACTGATGTGCATGTATACATACTCAGTGAGTGTTTTTACATGTGCTTGAGCAGAGGTGCTCACACTTTTTCAGCATGTGAGCTACTTACAAAATGACCAAGTCATAATGATCTACCTAATACAAAGCCAAGCAAACTGCACTGAAACACTCTGTACCCCTTTTTGGACCCTCACCCACAGTTTGAGAACCCCTTTTTTAAGAGAACTTCCTCTGGCACTTTACACAAAACTGAGAAAAAGTTAAGGAAGATTTTTAAACCTGTTTTTTAAAGTTCCAAACTGGAGTTACATTCTTTTCTGGTTTTGCAGTGATATTTACCAGCCTCTGCACATTTACCAAACCAAACGCACATCGTGACAAACACAGATGCATTTGTGCACTTTTGTTAGACAAACTTCAGCCAAATGTGGCAGTAGGTCTGTTCTGTAGATCCGCTCTATGCTGTAGACCTGCTTTGTGCCAACACTGTAACACAAATTTAGACTCGTTTTTGCTTCACGTTTGGTCTTGCTCTTCTAATCAGCCGCACTGTGGGAGGGGCTTGTGTTCGCTGTACGCAGGAAGGAGCGAGAGCGTGAAAAGGCGAGGGGCGGCGTGCTGACGTGAGGCAGATGGACAGGTAGGATGTTGAGGAAGTTGAACCTGCCCTGTGATGCACGCTGGTACACGAGGGCACACGCTGTTGCAGACGAGCCGTGCATAGGGAGCGTGTGTGTTTGTGATGCGCCGTAGAGTCTCCGCGGGTTTCAAATGAGCGCACAGGCTGCACTGAGACGCCCCACACGCTCCTGCACCCGCTACAAGTTTATTACCAACAGCAGCGGCCGTAATGAAATATGATCGCACTTGTTGAGTGTCAGACCTTGAGTGAGAGACAAGACCGAGTCCAAACGCGAGTCAGAGACGAGACACGGCGATCTACCCACACGACCTTGGCGATCGACTGGTAGATCGCAATCGACGTATTGAGCACCCCTGTGCTTGAGTATCCTGGTTTATCAGTGTCCATGTAAACACAGTGTCCTGGAAAAGCCAGTATCCCCGTTGTAAGAAACCAGGATACTCTCACTGGGTTATTCTCATAGTGCTGAAGAAGAATGAGTTGATAAATCAGAATACTGCGACTGCAAACCACAGTATCTAAGACAACGTTTACGCTGAAACGAATCACCATATTGGAAACGATTTGAGTCCAGACATGTCGTTTCTGTGTCCGCAAGCCTTCCCTATCCACACAACTTTCCAGGTATTTGTTTATGTTTTACAGAAACGAAACTTAAAACTGCATGGCTAATTTGCATAAACTTAAGCACTCAAAAAACAGCTCGCTATTGTGCGCTAATGCGGTTCAGCTTCTGTCGGACTCAGTTGAATATGAGTGTTCTCTCATATTGAACACTCAGTGGTTCATGTTAAACTTTTCAGAGATTATACATCTGCAGGTCATACGCATAGATCATATATATGAATGGATATATGTTCTATCTATATGTTATGTTATAGTTCTGAGTTACTTCACGGTGCATAGACCTACGTCAGCGTATCAGGCGTCTTCAGGCGTCCACACAGTGCTGGATCAGATCTGTACTCAGATTAATTCCTGGGAGCTGGCGGCACCAGATCATTCCGTCTCTGGAGCCATATTCCATCGGATTAGTGTGGACGAACACTGCATCCGCAATGAAAACGACTCGAATACGTACTAGTTGTGGTCAGGGCCTTAATTTCTCAACACAGATGCTGTACTGAGTATGTGTGAACTAAAGTAACAAAAAAGGTAGAAGCAATTTTCCCAAAACGACTCAGTCTTCTACCAGGGCTTTTAAAATATTTTATTACACCTGTAAGAAGACTAAACTGTCACTGTGGATTTTTACTGACACTATGACAATATTACACATAGTCTGATGTTCTTGCTGTGCATATGACTGAAAGATTTTCATTCTGTACTCTTCTCTCTCATTTAATGTCTCTCTCTAATTTTAATTTTATGATTATTATTTATGTTTTGATTTGTTTGTATTGTGATTTCAATATATTTCTTATTCTGTAAAGCACTTTGAATGACTTTCTGTGTGAATTGTGCTATCCAAATGAACTTGCCCTGCCTTGCCTTCTTATTTAAAATATATCTTTTTACCCCGTCGCTTTTTTGTTAGAAACACGCTAAAAGCCTTACCATAGTTGCCATAGTTATCACTCTAAATATCCAGGATGCTCTGATTGTGCATGTATACAGGAATATGTAAACTGCAAATCCAGAATACTGTCATGACCAGGATAAGGCTCATAATCTGGATACTCGAGTGCATGGAAACAATTAATTGACGAGTATTGTTTTGTGGTTTGGCATTGAAAAATTGCATTGTATATTTGTCTTTACGCTTTCATGTCATTTTCCAAAGCTAAACATCAATAGTGAAATTTAGTTTTGAATTAGTTAGATTTATGGGGGAAACAATACTGGATCTGAACCAGTCATAGAGAGAACATGCAAACCTGGGACCTTTTACTGTGAGCTGAGTGTTGCAGTAATAACAGGGAGGACTAGATCCATCCAACCAACCAGAGAGACAAGGCTAACATGACTCTGACTCTCAATGATGGCACTTAGTTTAAAAACAACAACACAATAAACTGATATATTTCAATTATTTTGACTCTTGAAATTATTACACAATTTCAATCTTTAGTTTTATTATTTTTATTGATCATTGCACTCTGGTCCTCTGATGTTTCTTGACTTCTGATTGGACACAGCCCTCTTGTTTCATGAGCTCTGATTGGCTGAGGTGATGTTACTTAATCTAAGCAGAAATGATGTTTCCATGTTCATCCACTTCCTGGACAATGGTTATGACTTTGGTGGTGGTGGTGGTTTTGGTGGTGAGAGATTGCCTGAAGAAACACAGAAAGAATTAGAATCACCGTCTACAGGACACTGACTTTCCTTTGTGTTGTTACATCTACATATAAAACCGAAAGTGTTTTGGAGAAAACAAAACTCACTTCTCCATATCTCCATCCAGCAGACGGCGGTACTCTGCGATCTCCATCTCCAGTCTGGTCTTAATGTCCAGCAGCAATTTGTACTGCTCCGTCTGATTGGCCAGATCGGCTCTGAGCGCGCTCAGTTGCTCCTCCAGTGATGTCACCTGCTGCTGGAAGCTGGCCAGCATCATGGCGTAGCGGCTGTTCACTTCAGCCAGGTTCACCTCCAGAGCTCCTTTCTACAAACAAGAGTTGGGACCTGAGTTAGACATGGCGGCTAACGCTAACAACTTAGTGCTAATGCTAACAACTTTCTGTCGTGTCTTTGAGTGGGAGTCTGGTCCTCTTTCATACCTTACTGAGCTGAGCCTGCAGTTTGATCTCCAGTGTGCTCAGGGTGCGGCGCAGTTCAGAAATCTCGGAGCGGCTGGTCTTCAGGGTCTCTGTGCTCACGGCCACGTCTTTGGTCAGCTCAACGCTCTGCACGAGAGAAACACTTTGAACTTCATTTATTCACTCAAATTGTCTAAATGTGTTGCCTGAAGAATTTAACATTCCCAAACAAACCATATTTCACCTATAAAGATGTTTAATGTAAAGTGTGGTTGAAGTATTCACCTTGGCCTGGAACCAGGCCTCCAGGTCTCTGCGGTTCTTGTCGGTGACGCTCTCGTAGTGTTCTCTGATTCCAGCCATGACAACGCTGAGGTCCTGCTGAGGAGCAGCGTCCACCTCCACATTCACTGATCCTCCCATGCTAGCACGCAGAGCCAGCAGGTCCTGCATGGACACAAATAAAAGTTTAGTGAAATATTTAATCTAATCCATCCACACAAATAATGCTGTGTGAATTAAAAAGAAAAGACTGAAGATCTCACCTCCTCATGCTGCCTCTTCATGTAGATGAGATCGTCCTTCAGACCCTCCACCTGCATCTCCAGATCCGAGCGAGCCAGAGTCAACCCATCCAGGACTTTCTTCAGCCCTGCGATGTCTGCCTCCACCGACTGATGCATGGCAAACTCGTTCTCAAACCTACAACAGCCAACATATGAACATTAATCAACTTATAGTATAATAATATAGAGTATTTTCTCCTGATATGAAAATTGACTGTAATGTTACTCACTTGACTTTGAAGTCGTCAGCGGCCAGTTTGGCGTTGTCCACAGCCAAGTACAGAGCAGCATTCACACGAGCAGCATCACCAATCTGAAAAAGTACAAATTGTGTTTAGAGGGACACAAAATGAATAGAGCTGTGCTGCTCCTGGTGCTGCCTCTGCTTGTTTTACTGCTACTGCTCATTTGCTCTGGTTAGGGTTAATATTAAATCATTTCTAAAAACTTCTGGGTCTAAATGTGATTCTGATCTAAGCCCCAGTGCTCACCAGGCCTGTCCTGTTCTAAAGGGGCTGTAAATATGTGTCAATAGAATTAGTTTGTGGAAGGTGAAGTGTACCTTGTCCTGCAGGCCGACGATGGTGGCTGTGTGGGCGGAGCTGTCGTGGAGGTGAATGCTGGTCCTGTTCTCAAGGTATTTCCTGATCTTCATCTCCAGATCAGCGTTGGCCTTCTCCAGACTGCGCACCTGTGAGAAGATAACACCTCATCAAATAACTGTATAAATCAAAGTACTTTTTTACAATCACAAATAATACTGCTACTCATGAATAAATCAAATGAGCTGATATAAAATATAACATTGTACCTTGTCGAGGTATGTGGCCAGGCGGTCGTTCAGGTTCTGCATGGTGGCCTTCTCGTTGACGGTCACATCCACAGCATCGCTCAGATCGAATCCAGCGCCCAGAGCTCCGGAGCTGGATTTGGAGACGCGCACACCTGCCCCTCCTGCTCCTCCATAGACACTACCAGAGGAGCGCCCCACAGTGCGGAGGCCAGACCCCAGGGAGGTGCCGCGTGTGGAGGTAGAGCTGAAGGAGCTTCTGGAGAGCATAGTGAGATTTCTGGAGACCTGAAGAGATCAGCGAAGATCAGAGCTCGAGGAGGACTGTGCCAAAGCCAGACACACACTGGGCTTATATCCCCCTCTACTCCCCCTGCAGGCTGGAGGCCACACCCACATGTCCTGTTTGACCACACTGACAGCATCAATCAACACCCAAAAGCCAGAGGCACTAGTCTGGGTCGTCAGTAGTCGCCAGACTGGTTTGTGAGAGCAAGAGTTGACATTTAAAAATCCTCCTAAAATGAATGATTTGTTGAAAGTGTGAATTAGTTTTATGTAGCGGTTTGTAGTGAGAGACAGACGCATACTCTGCATTTTTAGGAAGAACTGAAATCACTTAAACTACAATTATGCATTTTGCGCACGGTTAAACTGGTTAATTCAGTATAAATTAATTGTGGCATAATAAATTACAATCTTTAATCAAATATATTACAGATTACAGGCTTTTGCATTGCACTAACTGTATATTTAATCAACATTATGAGTCGATACACTGCAAACCTTGTCAACAAAACTTCACTGACAGATTTTATTATTATTATTTTTTTAGATAATTGATTAACATCCCCATTATACACTTACATACAAACAACATTTTATTATTTTTATGTTAAGACCAATGTAGAGAGAAATAGTTCAGTTGTAAAAAAGTGGCAGAACTTGTATTAGAATTAATAAATCATAATCCTAAAATAAAGCCTAAAGAATAGTCAGTTGATCAAATAATATCATATTTATTTTAACATTGTGCTTTTATTGATCATTCCTCTTTTTTAGTTCTTGAATCTTTTTTGAAATACCATGGCTTTCACATGTGAGGCCTGTTGTATTATACCTGAAAATACAGGTTCTGAAAATCTGTTTCCAATTGCAGCTGCTTAAACTGCCGGTGTGCTACTCCCCCCTGACACTTTACTATTATTATGATTATTGAGAGCAAGTTACCTGCTCTCACCAATCAGAGCAACAGCTGAAGTTAAAGTGGGGCAACTGATAAAAACTTTATGTCTTTTTTTAGTTTATAAGTGAAGAGAAGTTTGAATAAAGTAGAATTTATATTTCTTTTTTAAAACAAAATGTACTTGCATTTTTTTTTACTAGGTTAAAGGTTGTATGGAGGATTTTTTGTTTTGTTTCAAGTTGTCAGTGATAGATTATAGAGGTGCAGTAGCCTTGTAATTATGATGACCAAAAAAAAGAGAATAAAAATTCATCAACTCTGGACGTGGTGGGGCTAAACATTTGCCAATAGATAACGACACTGCCTCGTTATCTGTGAGCTGACAGGCTGTCAATCAATCTCCCTACGTTTCTAGCGTAACTGACTTGCCTGCGCGCCGCCGGTACGTGGTTTACGTACGTCTGTCACGCAGTCCACAGACGCAAGACGCACAGACGCTGTTTACTCCACCAACGCAACAGTTCTTTTTTTGACCTATATCTTCCTCGCAGTTCGCACAAAGTTTGTTGCAATGGCGACAAGAATCCAGGAGCAGTTCATTCATTCATTCCAGCGATGGCGCGACTGAAGCAGACGCAGGGTCTAAAGACTGACGCACTGGTCGCCAAATTACTCCTGGACAGGTCACTTCTGCTTATTATGAAAACGTACTTTATTTCCAAGAGCTACACTAATGTTTTTCAGGACACGAAAGTGATATCCTATGTCTGAAAACTTAATTTTCAAGGCAAAGAAAGAGTCCGCTTGCTGCTGCGTGTTGTAGCTAGTTCATTCGCACGGAATCTCCGCGCAACCTTCTCTGCACCCCTTTCCTGCTCCTGTCCCCGCTGCCCGTTCCGCTCTTCCCCCTGCTCCTCACTTCTCCGGGCACAGAATCTCCACGCACCGCTCCTCTCTCCTCTCTCCCTGCTCCGCTCTTCTTCCTTCTCCTCACTTCTCGTCCGCGAACGAAATGTCCGCACACCCGCTCACCCCGCTCCTCACTTCTCCGTCTTGCCTAACCAACACTGTAGTTAGTTGTTTACAAGTCATGTGCAGCTCACCGGCTGTAAACAAACCTGTTTCTGGCGTAAAGAGGAGGAGGGAGGAGGCATTTCTACGTAGGAGCTGTAGGGGAGGGGGGTGGTTTCACGCATGCGCAACATTTGAAAAAGGACAAACAGTCGCTGGATTTCTCGTTCCTTGGAAAATCCTCTATACAACCTTTAAGGAAAAACAAGCATTTTCTCACTTGAAATGAAGAGACAAATGTAACTGCACTTAAAAATAAGATTAGGATTATATAGGTAAATCTTGTTTTAAGTGAAATTGTATTCAAAACAAGACAAATAAAACTTAAAGAAGACATATTGTGCTTGTGTTTGTTATATAATTATAATCTGTGATACCTGTGGATCATTATGTTATAATTTTAAATCAGAATATTCGTCTAAAATGATTTAATCAAAGAAATAAGTTGGCTGACTTCCATGAAAACTGTGGTGCCCAGTGGGAGCTGACGTCACCATAAACGTCATCACAACAAAGAGTCGCGTGGCTGTTGACACCTCCTATGGACAGCTGCAGATCACAATGGTGTGCAAAGGATTATTTTTTTTTCATTTGTAACAAAATGATTACACAAGGCTGTATCACCAATTAAGAAAATATAATTGAAGAATGAAGTAAGCACAGAGCAGTGGGCGTATACCAGTGGCGGTGAAAACAGGGATTGGTCAGCTTTATGGCGCCTTGAAAAAAATGATTAACAATTGCTCAAATCTCAAATGCACAAAACACTCCAAATACAACTCTGAGAAGGTAAAGGAGACGGGGAAACAACTATAACATGGTTAAAAGCTCTAAAAAGTTGAAAACCCGGAATAGCCACAAAATGTAACCTTTTCCAGAGCTGTTGGACCTGCTGTTTTCGTAAAATATAAGAATACATTTTAACTGTGAAGAAGCGACATTATCACTTATGTAAAAGCTGAGTCACGGTCATATAAAGATTCCACACAGTTATTGCAGTGGTTCTTGTAATAAATCTGATCAAAAGGACATTTATTTGAAAAGCACTAACATATTTTGAATTCCAAGTTTCTTTCTTCTGGGTCTTAAAACATTTACATTTATTTCTTAAAACAAAAATGTACTTGTATTTTTTACTAGGTTAAGAAAAGACAAGCATTTTCTCACTTGAAATGAGGAGACAAACTTAAAAATAAGATTAAATACACTTATTCTATATTGGCAAATCTTGTTTTAAGTGAAATTGTATTCAGAAAAAGACAAATAAAACTTAAAGAAGACATATTGTGCTTGTGTCTATGATACCTGCGGATCATTATGTTATAATTTTAAATCAGAATATTTGTCTAAAATGATTTAATAAAAGAAATAAGTTGGCTGACTTCCATGAAAACTGTGGTGCCCAGTGGGAGCTGACGTCACCATAAACGTCATCACAACAAAGAGTCGCGTGGCTGTTGACACCTCCTATGGACAGCTGCAGATCACAATGGTGTGCAAAGGATTTTTTTTTTTTCATTTGTAACAAAATGATTACACAAGGCTGTCGAATCCTGCGTGTATCACCAATTAAGAAAATATAATTGAAGAATGAAGTAAGCACAGAGCAGTGGGCGTATACCAGTGGCGGTGAAAACAGGGATTGGTCAGCTTTATGGCGCCTTGAAAAAAATGATTAACAATTGCTCAAACCTCAAATGCACAAAACACTCCAAATACAACTCTGAGAAGGTAAAGGAGACGGGGAAACAACTATAACATGGTTAAAAGCTCAAAAAAGTTGAAAACCCGGAATAGCCACAAAATGTAACCTTTTCCAGAGCTGTTGGACCTGCTGTTTTCGTAAAATATAAGAATACATTTTAACTGTGAAGAAGCGACATTATCACTTATGTAAAAGCTGAGTCACGGTCATATAAAGATTCCACACAGTTATTGCAGTGGTTCTTGTAATAAATCTGATCAAAAGGACATTTATTTGAAAAGCGAGAACATATTTTGAATTCCAAGTTTCTTTCTTCTGGGTCTTAAAACATTTACATTGCCAGGTATGTTAGACTCTCGCTCGCTGAATCCGCCCACTGGGTCATTTAAAGCAAAGGAGAAAGGAGTAAAACCTGAACGACAAGTACCGAGAGAGAGTGAGCCCCTGACCCAGTTGAAAGACCAGTTTTAACACCTGTTTTTTTTTTTTTCTTTTTAATCTAGATCTTACAAAACTTTTCCATTGAATTAAAGAGGACTGGTGTTTAATATCAAACTGTTAGTACAAGCATAGATTAGTATTTTACATTCTGTTCACTATACACAGCGATATTGATCCAAAGAGGCTTAATAACTATTGACTTCACAGTTCCTGCTTCTTCATAATGGTATTTAACAGGCAGCAAATTATTATTACATTTACTACAGTATTCATTTTTGCATGTTTGAGTATCATGTTGCATTGTTCAGAACACCTCTTAAAAGTCTATTTTACAAAACATTCCCCCTTTAATGATTTAGACTTAGTTTGGGCTTATGTTGTCAAATTGTACACACTTTTTGCCATAAAGAACAATTCTTAACCACACTTAGTTAGAACGTGATCTAAAAATTACATAATGTCATTTGCAAAACGAAGGAAAAGTGTGTGTGGTCTGTGATTAAAGGACCGAAGGTGGAGGGTCTGTCTGCTGTTATTACTTTGTCTGGAATAGTTCACAGTACGAAGAACCAATAAGCAGTGTTGGGGAGTAACAGATTACATGTACCGGAGTTATGTAATCAGAGTACAAATTATGAGTAACTGTATTCAGTTACAGTTACTGTTTCAGTGAGTGGTAATTGGATTACAGTTACTTTGTTGAAATAATGGATTACATGGTGGTATTTTCCTGTTTTCACATGTCGGGCTATATCCCCTTTTTTTGTTTTTTTCCCAGTCTAAACCATTCCACTAAACCATCTGCTAAACCAGGTCTAAACCAGGTCTAAA